AGTTCACGAGGATCCTAATAAAACACTGGCAGTGATTTCATGTATGAACAGGATCAGTATTCGTACAAATGGATTTCATTAGTGTTAATGAACAGATCAGTTTAATTAAAAGAATCAACACTAACACATCATCACTATTAACGTGACTTCATGTTTTTTTCTTTTTTACCTGAATCGCTCTGTTGATGAACTGACCAGCATCCGACGCAAAGCGAGTCAGATCCATGGCAACGTCCGCCAAGGTCGCGCTCTGTGCCCGGTGCTGCTCCGTCAACGGCCCGCTGAACAACCAGCGACGGTCCGACGGTCCACAGGCGTCAGCCTCCAGCCTCCAGCCTCCATCGACCCTCAGGCCGGGCACGGTTCTCTAACACCGGCTCTGTCGTCTTATTGACGGTTTATCCCGCAGCCATGTTCCTGACAGCTTCCTCCATCAAGCTCCCTGTGTTTACTGCTTCACAGCTTCTCGCTTCCGGTGACTTAATATCCCTTTTTTCTTTATTTAAACTTTGACTTTGCCGGTTCATTCAATTCGTTTTTTTCCAAATAGAAATGTTAAACAGCTACGTATCAATTTAAAAGGTTAACTATGGTCGTCAGTTCTCTTCAGATCGTGCGAAAAGAAACAAAAACAAACTAAAATCTCTGCAAAGAGAAGATTACCCTTCATTTCCGGTTTTCAAAATAAAAGCATAATCTCCACACTCACGCAGTTCAACGATTAAAACCTGCAGAAAAACAGCAACTCAGAGGCAAAATACAGCTGATCACACTTTGTGTGGTGATAACTATAGTAATAAAGTGGATTTTCTGATTGCACAGTTCACAGGTCGGTAGTTTTCTTGATCTTGTAGCAGAATACGAAATACAGAAAACAGTCAAGAAGGTCAACGGAAAAAGGCAAAATATGGAAGTCAGCTCTCATGTCATAGTGTATAAAATTGTAAAAATTCTCGACACTGAGGAGATAAGCTTTACTTCTCTACACGCCTGTGCAATTCAGCGACTAAACGTGCAGGAAAAATGAGCTAATTAGCTGCAGAGTCCAAACTAATACTATCCGGTGCAATTTGCTGTGGTAGTAACAGCTGTAGTAAAATTTTAATGCCTTTTATCTATCAGAGGATAAAGTGGATATTCTGATAAGCGTTGTAGAGTTCACTGGTCAGGTGTTTTCCCACCATAGTAAAGCACGCAAAGACAATCGTGCAGCAGAATGTGAAGTCAGACCGCTACCTTCCAGCCACAGAAAAGCCAAGTGTCCAAAGTGTGAGCCTGGAAAACTCTCGTTGATCTCAAACCAGTATCGAAGGCCTCTATCCGAGAGCAAGTTCCAACATAAGCCAAGTGTTGACAAAAAGGAGAAATATAACGATCAGAAATACAGCGACCCTCTGACTGTCTGAACTCATGACTGAGGGACGAACACATCCCTTAAGCGAAGAAGACTTCCTTTACACCGGTGTCAGCGTCCAGCCGTCTTCAGCCTCTTAAGGCTTTCACGAGCAAACACTTGGCTCTAATTGGTTCTTGTGTGGAAAAAGGTGAGCGGATTGGATGAGTGTGAGTGTTCAAGAGAGCAACACATATATATATAGAGGGGGGGGGGGGGGGGGG